ATTATATATCCTTTATTATTTAATTGCTTTTGCACTAAATGAACACAGGTAGCAATATTTGCATGTTGGCTTATTTTAAACTAGACATTAACGTTACTATATTTATACATAATATGTGGACAGTATATTAAAAGAGATTTTATCGGCAACAGATTAAAGAGTACTCAATGCTCGTTAAATTTTATTGGCTTGAATTCTTGGATTAAGTTCAAATATGTGAAGCACATTGGTAGTGAATGTTGGGCTGAAATATTGTTATCATAATAAACAATTCGATGCACTCAACAATGTTTCATTCTGTTTCTTTTGTATACGTATTATTTATTAGCGATCTAATAAGTACATTTTTATTGAAAGCATTACGTGTTGTTCAATGTACTGACTGGATCAGTATCAAGCGCCAGTTAAAATATACAATAGCTTACAACTCAACTCAGATTGATCATAACTTTGTAATAGAAGAAAAATGTCCAAGGACTTGTTATTTGACGCTTATCATTACCTCATCTATTCATACAAACTTGTCTAACACTCGAAAAAGCGTATTTTTTGGTTTTTCAGGTATTTTAATATGTACAATGGTAGCATGCACTCCAAGTTGAGTTTAGTCGTGACGATCAATTAACTCCGGCGTAATAAGATTGTCTGTGACTTGGCAGTATTTGTTTGTCTTCATAGATAATATTATGTATGTTGAGAGCGTTACACACATTTCGCATTTATCACGGATTAAAGTCCTTTTAAATGAGTTCTCTGTCATTTTGTAGCTGATTGAAAAAGATCACTCTTGTAATTCATATTCATTTCAACAAGGTGGATGTTTTTTCCTGTTTACACACCGTGTAATACTATGCGTGAGAACAAAATATAATTGAACTGTGTTTTATTTCCAAGAAAAGCTTTTGGCAAGAACTTGTACTCAAGTTCAAACTTTCAATGATGTTGATTTAGAGAATTTGAGAAGATAATTCGAATTCTTAACTTTTGCCGGCATCCAAAAAGTACTCGCTGGTAAAAATAGCTAAATTGACTAACGTTGAGACTAGTAAAAATGCTTAAACGTTATAAATATAGGCTTAACAAGAAAAAAATGATAGTATTTTTTCGAACCAGTGGTTCCACGTTCTGCTTTAGTTTAGTTGTTATAGCTTTGCATCAATTAGACATGTTGGTATGAGTTGAATCAAATTTAATGCATTATTACTGTCGATCATCACCATCCAGTACAACTTAATAAATTCTGAGCCGTTGTTTTAGTGACTGCCTTTGTATTTAAGTTCATTTTGAATTAGTTCATATAGTTCTATAAATTTTTAATCTCAAAGAAACCTGTATTTTACCGTAAGTATTATAATGTAATGAATGGTAACATGCACTGATGACTTTTGTCGCGACAAGAACCAAAAAAGTTAAAATTGACTCCTACGTAATGACATTATTTGTGACTGTGACTTGGCAATATCTTGCTGGACCAGCTGGAGAGCTTTGTATTTTTTTGTAAGACATAATTAAGATAGCACACATTACTTGATAGTGTATGAAAGTTCCTTTAAATGAATTTGAATTGGATGAAATGAATTTTCCTACCAATAATATGGTCTTCATTTTCAATCTGGTTTAAACTGTCTTCTACTTCTCCACGATGTCATTAAAACAATGACAAATAACAAAAACCTCAAATTTTGCTCTTACAACTGCACCGGGCAACAGGATGTTATAGCTGAATGTATCACTAATACGCAAAATAGGAATTATACCAGCCAGCTTGGTACTTGTGGGGCGGAAGGACGAAAAATTCACTTATTTATTTGACAATTTTTAAAATATAATTGAATTCGAAACAACATTACTAGATAGTGTGAAAAAATTCCTTTTAAACGAAACAACTTTTATTCTGCTAGCAACTCAGCTCACACACAGAAGAACGAAATGTACGTAGATGAAATGAGATTTTTTATACCAAGAATATTGCTGACGTTTACTCCTCATTTGACTCCAAAATGACTTCCGCTAAGGTTGTCAAAACGTCAGTCAACAACAACAAAAACAGTTCTTCTCAGGACTATACCAACCTGGACGATCTTCATTAACAAACATGTAACGATACTCCTGGTCTCAAACCATTAACTTTGATATTGCTTAAATTAGCTTTTAGCAAAAACGTACTTGTTTAACGTTTACGTAATGAATACTACCCTCCTCCCCTTCCATGGAATTATCGCGAAGGCTACTTGTCTGTATTATACATCCTTTATTATTTAATTGCTTTTGCACTCAATGAACACATCTAGCTAGGAGTATTTGCATACTAGCTTATTTCGAAATAGACATTAACGTTACTATGGTTATATATGCAAGGTATATTGACATAGATTTATCAGCAGCAGAGTAAAAGAATAATCAATGCTCAGCAAATTATGTCGGATTGAATCTGGGATTTAGTACAAATACGCGAAGTACATTGCTAGTGAATGATGGGCTGAATTATTATTAACATGATAAACAATTCGATGCACTCAATAATGTTTCATTCTGTTTCTTTCGTATAGGCATTATTTATTACCGATCTAATAAGTACATTTTTTAATGAAAGCACTACGTGTTGTACAAAATATAGACTGGATCAGTATATATACAGCGTATATTAAAATGTATAATAGCTTACAACTCAACTCAGATTCATTATAACTTTGTAATGAGAAAAATGTCCATTGACTTGCTATGTGACGTTAGGTTATGTTAGCATTAGCTCATCTAGTTATACAAACTTGTTTGACAATCGATAATCTGTATTTTTCGGTATTTAAGGTATTTCAATATGTAGCATGCACTCCATTTTGAGTTTATAGTCGATCAATTGACTCACGCGTAATAAGATTATTTGTGACATGGCAATGTTTGTTTGTCTTCTAAGATAATATTATGTATACTGTTCAGAGCGTCATATTTCTGTAAAAGGCATGAGATAACGCACATTACGCATTGATCAAGGATTAAAATTTTTATAAATGGGGAGTTTGTCATTTTGCAGCTCGTTAAAAATCGAATACGCTCTTGTAATACATATTCATTCCAGCAAGGTGGTGATTTTTCTTGATTACACACAGAATATATAGTACACTACTATATGCGTGAGAACGAATTATAAATGAGCTGTATTTATTTAAAATGAAAAGCTTTTATTTGCACTCAAGTTCAATGAAGTTCAACTTTCACTATCTGCACTCAAGTTCAACTTTCAATGAAGTTGATTAAAGGACATTGGCAATGAAAATTTTTATGGCATATTTATGAACCTTTGTGATGTCTAACAACTAAAATAGAAAAAATTTTTCTCAAAAATATTTTGTTGCTGAGAAATTTGCAGCAAAAGTTTTATAAATTGCGCCATCTTGGATAAAATTTTGATAAAATTATCTCGAGCGGTAGTGCGTTACAACATATTTAAAGCGCATTTTACGGGGTTTGTTTTTGCTGTAATGGATGACATACACGAAAATCAACCGGGTGATATTCTGTCCTATCAATATAAACCTGAAGTGAAGGCCGAAACTGGTGAAGAAAGCGGTTCCGAACAGGAGAGTGAGCAGAGCGACTTGTCCTCGTCGGACGATGAAATACATGCTGAATTTGAGAAAGCAAATGATTAGCGCCTTCAAACTCTTAGTTTGTGTAAGTGTGGACATTGTACTTTGTCAAAAAAGGCAATCGAGTGTTTTTGTTGCCACGAACAAGCGCTTGAATACCATGAGTATGAGGCTTTGCTAGGCCAAACAGAAACTCAAGGAGTAAATTGCTTGACAACACACCAAGAATTTAGGGACAATATGCTCTCAGAAAGTGTTTTAAAGATAGACGTGTGTCGGCATCTTGAAGAAAACTGGCCCCTGTCTGATGAAGATCTGGAGAGAATACACAAACTGTATCGATTAGTTGCCTATCAAAGATGTTCTAGGTGGATTTTTCAAATTTTGGAAAGAAACATCGAAGACCATTTCCTGCTTGTGTTTATGATAGCTTCGCGTCACCAAACGGACTTTATACACATTTTAAATACGCATGTTATCACGAAAGACCGTAAATTTAGTCTTAGACAGACGCTCTTTGATGTTCTTTGTTATGATCTGCAATCGCGATGCCATATCATTGTCAAAGGATTGTCACGAACTGCGCAAAAGCAAAATGCATGAGTGATCCACCCAAAACTTGTATTCATTCATAAGTTATAAAGTTAATCGAAAAGTGTACTTGTACATTGTGCACGCGGATGAATTACGGATGAACGAAACTCTACAGTCAAGAACAAAACATAGTGGCTTAGAGCTTATTACCTATATAAAACTACATAATCTTTCAAAGGCTCTTACGTATACAAATAATAAATTAAACGTATAACTCATTGTTGGTCACAGCTTTGTATTATGGGAAAATGAAATATTTCTATTGCACGAAATGTTCAGTGTATAAAACGCGCTTGTTGTTGTCTGGGCTTACACTTGGTATATCGCGAAAGCCTAGTTGTAAGATCTGCTAAAATAAACGTTTCTACGTTTTAGAACGACTAAATATTGGAAAAGTATATAAGCGTGATAAACTACACAACTTTTGTTAATCTTAACAACCGCCGACTGTTGTTTTTGTTTTAAAATTCCAGGGAACAAATGTGCTATATATTATTATAATACAATTATTTTATATTGTGGCATTCAGTTGATACCAGCCAATGACGTCAGTAATGTATTCCGGCATAATTTAGCATAAGGCTTTTTTTTCAAAATGGCGGATAAGGATTCAACTTTATGTCAAATTTTCTCAACAGCAAAATTCAAAAGAGACACGAAAACACGAAATTAAGTATTCCATAGCTATCTATGATAAATGTATGAAAAAAAAATTTTCGTTGCCAATGTCCTTTAAGAGAATTTGAGAACATAATCTGAATTCTTAAAGTGCACATTCAACTATTTTCAATTTTTTATTCACAAATATATTTTGGATAAATAATACAAATGCCGTTTACAGAATTTGAATAACTTTTTTCGTTTTTGAGTTATCTTTCGGCAAAGATGCGAATAAAACCTGAATTTCAACGTTTTGTAAAAAATGTCGAGAGCTCTAATCCGTGGCATGGGACTTACTTGTGACGTCATTTAAGGAACACAGACTGACTACCAAAACAACTTACACTGTTTATGCATGTAAACAAACACAAAAATGCCAGATCGATGTGTAGTTTTTGGTTGTTCTAACGTAGCCAGTTCGGAGAAAGGCATTTCACTTCATCGCATACCATTTTTTAACGACGAAAGAAGCGAAGCTAAGCGTAGGAGAAAGCGATGGGTCAACTTTGTGAAAGCTACTCGCGATAAGTGGGTCCCCACAAAGAATTCCGCAGTTTGCTCGGAACACTTCACAAAAGATTCGTTTTCTCGGCAATTCGGCTCGTTTTTTGAATCAGAATGTAATTTTACACCTCAACTCATTCGAGACGAATTCGGAATCGTTGCTTACCCGAGCATTTATCCTCGAAAAGATGACGATGAACTTACAACAAGAGATCGCAGAATGGTGAGTACGTTAAAAATTATGCATATGCATATCTACCTTTTACCTGGAATCTGTGTGAGAGTATATTTCATAAATATATGCCATTTTAGATGAAAAGAAAGTGGATTTCTGATTATATAAGAGAGGTTGGATCAGAAAATATTCCCAGTACAAGTAGCAAACGTCAAGAGCAAATAGAAGAAACAACTTTTGATGAGCCTGTATTAGAGAAGGTAAACTTATATGATTATTACGCCACTGCTGTAAAGATTAACGTAAATTATTGTTTTTGTATATGTATTGCTGTTGTTTCTAATTTAGGAAGTAGCCGTGTAATGTGAATTACAATGCCAAAATTGTTTAAAACTTGAGAAAGAGAAACGTCGTTACAGGAACTTATGGCTTGGGGCAAAGTATAAGCTTCAGTGTAGCGGAACTTATGCAAGCAGTTCTAATATGGATATGCTTGCAGTGGGTAAGTGTTTTTTAAGATAATACGCCTGTTAATTTTATTTCATGTATTATTCTAGGTCAAGAGAAGATTTGCCAACGTAATAGGATCAGCCATGTTTAATAACCTCAATTTCTACAATACTACCAACTAAGCTTGCATGCACCCCTGGAAAATTATTGAAGTTAATTACTAGGAAATATGGACTTAATCAACCTTGTGTAGCTGCGCGTTCCAACCATTTGTACTGGAGTGTTACATCAACACTACTGTGAAGGTACCACAGGATTCATCCTGACAATCATCCTGACATTCATCCTTACATTCACCACAGGATTCACCACAACATTCAAAATTAGCATAAAGTGTGAAGTTGACACCACATTCAATTTAGTACTATTAAATAACATCAGTTTCAGAAACAAAATAGAAAAAACCGTATTTTTTGCTACAAAAAAGCAAAAGATGCACACGTGTTTGGTGCCGTTGTAAAGACCAAGTTATTTAGACAAGGATTATACTATTTTTATTTTGGTCGAAAGTCTTGGAGCAAATCTACAGCCTTTTAAAGACTACTTCCGCTTTTGTCTCTTTACGTTAAATAATTGCGCGATGTTTACAATGCATAAATGTTGACATCTATGGTTTTGGACTAGTTAACACGCTGCAATATACTCGTATTTGGTATCAGATTAAAGATCTTGCTATGAGGAAATACAATACTAAACACAAGTAAATTGTAGCGTGTTTACCGTATAAAAACAGTACTATCTTGAATCCTGTGGTACCTTCACAGTCGACTTTGCAAGGCTGTAGATTCGCTCCACGAATTTGAGCCTCAAAAGTAAAGATATATTTGAAATCCTCAGAAAACGTACTTTCGGATGTTACCAAACACAAGTATTTTCCAGCGTGTTTATTTCTTGAAAATTAGGCCTTTTTAGATGTCAACATTTATGCATTGTAAACATCGCGCAATTATTTAACGTAAAGAGACAAAAGCGGAAGTAGTCTTTAAAAGGCTGTAGATTTGCTCCAAGACTTTCGACCAAAATAAAAATAGTATAATCCTTGTCTAAATAACTTGGTCTTTACAACGGCACCAAACACGTGTGCATCTTTTGCTTTTTTGTAGCAAAAAATACGGTTTTTTCTATTTTGTTTCTGAAACTGATGTTATTTAATAGTACTAAATTGAATGTGGTGTCAACTTCACACTTTATGCTAATTTTGAATGTTGTGGTGAATCCTGTGGTGAATGTAAGGATGAATGTCAGGATGAATGTCAGGATGAGTCCTGTGGTACCTTCACAGTAGTTACATCAACACCCTCTGGTAACAGAAATGTGAATGTAGCTAAGTTCAAGTCTTTCCTTGGTCATGTCAAAAACCAACACAGTGGATTTTCAAAGCCTTTATTTGACAAATGTGCTCATGATTCAAACATAAAACCATGCAAATGGCTAAATGAAGGTAAAAAATCGAAAACAATTCTTGCTGCTATTAAAAAGAAATATTGTGTGTATAATAATCCATTATTCATTGCCTTGTCTTTAGAGTCTATGTCATACAATAAGATGTATGCAGCTTTAACTAAACCAAGGTTGATTGCTGGAATCATGAAAGCTTCTCCAATGTTTCAAACAAGTGCATTGGAGGGATTTCACTCAGTTCTTAACCAGTTTGCACCCAAAATGATAAGCTATTCTTTTCCTGGGATGTTCTACAGGTATTCTATGAAACATGTGTGATGAAACACCTATGTATCATTACAGTTTTTATTCCCTTGTGCCAATTTAAACTCTTTCAAGAAATTGAATGCAATTTTATATTTCATGAAGGCATATCCTTGCTGTAACTCACTTCAACAGCAATTTGGACAGAGATAATCAAGAGGTTAATGGAGTTCCCCAGGTTAAAGTGCATTATCCAATATTTAAAATGGTGAAGCTGTTGTAAGAAATGTAAAAGTTGCTCAGGATTTTGATAAGGTTATTTAATATATTTCTCCTACTGCCTGATATCATGTGTTAAATGCCATAATAATCAAAGCCTTAATAAGAAATGATTACCATAAAATAAAATTTTGAATAATTTGCACATTGCTCCTCCAGGGTATGTTCAAGATATATATCAAGTGTTGTGCTCTGCACTCATTGATGAGGAAACATTGGAAAAAGCCAAAGGTGATCTTTTACGAATGACTCCATTGTCAATGAATTCTATGTTGGACAAGCAATCAAAAAGTGAAGCTATCTCGAAAAAAGCAAGAAGACAAAGCATGCCAGCTGTACATTCCCCCCCCAACTAAGCCAGGTTTTACAAAAAGGCATTACTTGTTTTGAGTTAATTTCAATCTTATTTTTGGAACTGACTCACTTTATTGTTTGATATAGCTGAAGTATCACCTGTCCAAGAAAAGATCACTAATCAGGAAAATGAGAGAGCAGCACCTTGATGCACTGTGTGCAAGAATTGGATGAAAGGCCATAAAAATATAATTAACTGTCCAAAAAACCAAAAGTAACCAGTTTTTTAGGACCTGGTGGTATGAGCCCACTTAGTTGGGATTCAGTGAAGTGTGAATTGACTGCATGGAAAGAATAAAGAGAAAGGAATTGTAATTTTTATATCTTTTGTATAACAAGTACAAGTATGAATCAAAGATGCAATATATCAAAAGTGGCTTAAATCATTCCACACTTCACTGAATCCCTACTAGCTGGGCTCATGCACACAACAACTAAATGATATATAATTTTATGTTATTTTACAAATGGTCCTCTTCATACTCTGCAAAGTGTTCATTTTTTTTTAAATTAAAAGTTGTTCAAATAACATGGTAAGCACAAGCTGGAAGTGGAATTCTTTTGTCTCGAAGAATGCCATTACCATTCTTGTAAATTGTCTATATGCAACAACTCGAAAAAACCTGAAAAAGGCATAATACACAAGGTCCATTAAAACAGGTAGGCGTCCATGAAATACAAATTTTGCAAGTGTGCACTCATAGATAACCCAGACAAAGACATTTAACTATTAATTCTAACAAACCTTTGCTCCAAGAATCCTTTACGATATCTAACTCCATCTCGTCTTTGGTAAAGATTGGCAGCTAAATTTAATGCCCATCGATTGAGACAAATGGCATCAAATCCTGGATGCTCTGTGATGCATTTTGGCTGCCTTCCTAATTCAGATACCACCATATGATCTTGCATTTCAATCATGCAATTGGAAATTTCGTGGCAACATCTACATTCTTTTGGATTAACCAAGAGAGGAACACGGCAGTTACCACACTTGCACCTACGAAAGTTATCTGTCAAAAGCTTCGGCAACAATAAACAAATTTTCCAATTTTTCTTACCAAGAATCAAGAGGAACTTCAATTTGCATTCTGCGTTCGAGCTCTTCTGTTTTGCGTCTTTCTTCTTCTGTCTCTCTATTATAGTTTTCTAACCAGTCATCATCAGCAAGTGGTTCGTTTTCATACGCTTCAGCTTGGCCGTACTCAAAATCGCCATCGGTGTTTCGGAGCGCATTTGATGACGATGGATCTTCGTCTTCTAAATCGAATTCCTGACTGTTCAATTCAATATTTTCCGCTGTTGTTGCTGTACTCGACTCAGAATCGGATGTCGACATGTTTCGTACAATTTTTATATTAATTTCAAAGCAATATATAAAGAACTGTTATTTCACACTGTGTTGTTTTGTATGCAGCGCATTCAAACGTTCCTTAAATGACGTCACAAACCTCTCGTTTTAAGTCCCCTCAGAGGCGCGGAAATTACTCAAAAGCAAGCTAATTCAAACCGCAGAAAAAACTTTGTTTTTTCTTTTTGTACGAAATTTTTTTCGAAATCATATTTTCCACAGTCTAAACTTTAAAACTTTAAACTTTAAACTTTTAATACAGGCATTAAAAAAGAAGGTACGCAGAGTGTACATTTTGGCAGCTTGATTGGACGCCCTTACACATTAATACATATCTGACACAAGTGATGAAATGAAATAAATTTATGAAGACGTTTAAATGGTGTTATACATATATTTATCGTACCCAACGTCAAACTTTAAAGGCATCAAAATGAACAAGTAAGTTTTCACAAACATCTTTATAGTTAGTTACAAAATATATTCCTCGCTGAGGTTAACCGTCACAATCACACATCGACAACATTGCTACAAAATAACAAATAGCTACATGAATATAAAGTATTGACATTTGTCTATAGCCAACCGGCTTGTGACAAGATACCATGTGTGATATAAGACCAATTATCTGAATCTATAAAAATGAGTTGAGCATCTTCCAATCCATGCTATAGCTCTTTGCCATTGTGGATGTTTTAAGAAGCTTTGGAATGCTCTTTAACTAAAGACTAGACCTTTCAGTTCAGCATTTTTTCCATGAACGATCGCATCAATTTTTAAGACGTTCCAAATTTATGAAAGAGTGGCTAAGGAGTTCTGTTTTGTTATGATTGCAATTTTTGTTGGTTTTGTTTGCTTTGTTTGTCTTGACGTTGCTAAGTTCATCTTTATACAACCATTTAAAGATGTTTGTTAGGCACTTTACAGAACATACTAATAATCAAATTTTGTTCAATTTTCGTAATGGAGTCTATCATTCAGTAATTTATAAGCATTTCCACACTGCAATTTTTTGTTAAATGAACTTCATTCCTTTGTCACGAGGTATTTTCATAATCGAAGTTTCACTTATGATGATAATGATACAACTTTTACCTTATTGAGAGCAGACCCAAGCATTTTGAAGACTATAGTGAATAAAAGTTCAAAATAGAGTGAGTAAAAGATTATTAAACCATTTACTTTACAGCAGAAACAATTACCTGAGCTGTTTGATGTTCTAGGATTCGTTTGATGGGGTTAATTGTAAAATACGCTGCTAGCAATCTAAGAAAAATAAAACAATAATCATGACAATGAATAAACTGTACGGAAGAACAAAGTGTAAATTACTTACCTTTTTGTTTATGAAAAGCAAGTCGAATGATGAATATTTTGTACGCTATTTGTCTACTATGTCAATGAGGCGGTTGTCTTCATTTACCATTTTATTAAAAGTCGTCAATGGTCATACTTAAAAATCATCTCATTACAGTAATGGGTTCTTCCATTTCCTTACCTTAATTTAAGCCCAGATTTCCTTATGGTCACTGAAGTAAGTTTCGAGAGTACCTGTTTGAAGCTCATCTTTCTTTACGTTGGTGTATAAGTGGTCAATCAGAGTTTTGTTATCTGTGGTGTAATCTGTTATTAGTTGCCGAGGGCCATTATGAATAATCATAAGGTCGTAAATTGATTGTCGATTAGTGTCATCCAGCCAATTCACATTAAATCTCTCATCATTATTATTTGGTTGGTGAAATTTTGCTGAAGGATGGTGCGTAGAACTGTTAAAAGTTGTGAGATAGGAATTCTTGGTGATCTGTATATTTCAATAGTCCAGTAGATTTATGGTTGAACCTTGAACTAATTCCCACAAAAGCTCACTCTTCAAAAATATCTTTCCTTTCATGTACAGAACAACATATTAAAAGTCCCACATGATCTGAGGCCGGCAACTTCGTAAAATAATGTTTTCTGTGAAATTATGACATGAAAACGAGGCTATAAACAAGAATTACAAAATAACACTGCTTTGACCTAACGAATATCATATTTGATTATATAAATCTGCAGCGTGGCTATTAAAAATCATGTTAAGTCTTCAACGACCGAAAAAAAGGAATCCATTAGGTTACATAGTAATACAAGAGTGTCACTAAATTTACATATGGTTTATATAGTGTACTTTGATTTACAAAGGCATTTCTGTCATTTCATACTTTTGTTAATCATCTTCAACATCAACACCACTGTTAGTGCAACCAGTACCTCTACATTGACCACATGCCATTGTGCAGTGAAGTCCATTTTTACGACAGGTACATCTTGTAGTTGAACAATTTGTGGTACAGTTGCATTGTATCATATTAAGCAAGTTTTCAGGAGCTGCTGGAAGATCAGTTTTTCTAGGTACGATAACATAACCACTCATTTTCCAACCAAATGCATCAATCAACAATCCTTCGTCTTGACTCTGCCATTGCTGAACTTGAAGAAAGACTCTCAATGAATGATACTTGGCTGCACTAGATGCTGGGGGAAGACTTTGGGGCTCTACCATTCGGCCTTTAGTGCACACCTTCTCGTAGTACTTCCTGTGGCGCAAACTGTCTAGAGTCTCGCCTTTTTATCCTCCATACATGCAGACGAAGGCATTTTCAACACTCTGGATAACCATGTTCATGCTGACGTTTGAAACTTCAAATGCTTATGCTTGTTCACGGAAATAGTTTGAATCTGTGAATTTCTTAAGAGGTGCCGATTTTCCAAGGCCAAAGGGCCGGGATGTCGTGTCACAACCAGCAATAGCATGAAGAAACAAAATGTTTTTACACAGAGATTCACCCAGCTCTGATCTCACTATTCTCATGTTCCATACTCTTTCCGTTCTACGTTTAGTTGTTTTCTTTGGTTCTGGACGAAAATAAAGACCACATCCCTCATCCACTTTGACGTAATAGCACATTAAAACAAGAAGATCTGTATCATCTCCAACAAGAATGGTAGGAGATTTCATGGCACTTGAAACAACTGACTTTACTATGAGAAGATCAGCGTCGTCATCGGCTTGGAGTGTAGTACAGCCATTCAAATCCAGATAATTTCGAAGAGTAGTTATAAGTCGTTTCTTATTGTGTATATTAGCCAGGAATACATCTCTTTTCATTGTTATCTTCATGTCATCTTCGAATGACACTGTTGCCCCAACGTTTCCGGATGATCTTCGTTGTTGCGCCATGTTCTTAGTAGATGGGTTATCATAACCGTCAAAAACAATACAACTTCCTGCCCCATATTTCTGTTTTACATAGTGGCAGTACTTCTGGCACAATTCTTGAAAGGTTGCTTTCTTTGGCCATGGTACGTGATGAAGAAGAGCTCCTCCATCAATGACGAATTTGGTTTCGCCGACCGGGCCGGCCTTAGCATCAGGTGACAGCATTTCCCACAATGTGTCTGCAAGATTAGATTTCTGAGGCTGTCGCAACGTTAGCAGGAAATCGAACAAGGCTGCTGGATAATTACAAAGCTCGTATTGAAATACTTCTTCTAAATCATCAACGGTATTACATGCAAAGACTAACCTCTGAAACAGAAGCTGTGGATCGACATGTACTTTTACTCCGTTTATCTTTACTGATGAGCCTGCAGCAAGAGTAATGGCCTGATCTTTACGTGTAAATGTGTAGTCGCATACTTTTGTACCAGCCATCTTTGACAATATGTTTTCTCCTTTACTTCGAGCTTCATCAACATCAACGGAATCATCTGCGTTTACACCTGTCATTATATTCTTGAGAACTGATTCTTGAATAAATGGATTCTTTCCTTCTGATGCAAGCGTTTTAAGTATGAGCATGGTATCATCCATATCTCTTTTCTGTCGAATTTGGGACATATCTTTATTTTGTTCGCTGTGTTCACAAATGATGCCAATGAGGTCTTGCATAGCTGAGCTAAGCTGGGCACATGCTGGAGTAGACAATACCCACACGACACGTTGCCGTTCGGTCATTCCACTTCCGCGGCTCAGGCCACCTGTGGTTTTAACAGTTCTCATAAGAACTTGTTCTATAATTAAATCAGTGGACAGGCCAGCCCAGTAACGTTCACTCCTTCTGAAAACATGGAAACCATCTGAAAATGACTTGTAGACTTCAGGAAACTCATCTTTAAGATTCATCATAGATTGTAAATAGAGGGTAGAACTTTCTGTGTAAAGGTTGTGGCCAGATGCAGCAAAGTATGGTAACATTCTTGATAGGACTTGGAGGTGCATCTCCCAATTTCCAGTTCGTTCAGCTTTAATAAATCCACGCACAATGTCAATCATCTCTTGATATTGTAGCCAAAGAGTAGCGGTTCAACTTTTGGCTTTCAGCCTCTTCGCCTGTTGCTAACCTTTTCCTCGATTTCTTTCAGCTTATTTGAAGCAGCCACTTCTTGAGCTGTTTTTTTTTCTCAATCAAGTCTTCGTAAAGGTCTTGGCATTGATTCAAGAGGTTCTTGTTTTCATCAATTTGATTGTCTTCAGGCACTCCTTGGAAAGCAAAAGAATTGCATGTTGTTATTATTTGTTAGTAAGGGTTATTGACCCTTCTTTGGTGCTATAGTATTACCTTCCAAGCGCTGAATTTCATTGGACGTGTCTTGTGTTGAGATGATGTCATCTACGATTTCTGTGTTTGTCGCATCTATAAGATATGTCAACTTCGTATGAATCCATGCCTTATTAAAAGTCTCTTCTATAAAAGCACCCACCTTCATAAGCAGCATGAAAAGATTCATCAGTTATATTTGAACCATCATCAATGTCTTCATCGAAATCAGCGTCATCTGCGCGTAAAACAAGTAAATGGTTAGTTTATATTATGAAATCATGAGCATTTATAAGAATTTTACCAGTAGAATCTAAACATGGTACTTGTACACCAAGTGTGGCTGAGTATAGTAAGGCGTTAAGTGCAGCGTCGACGATTAAATGACCACGTAAGCTCTAGAAACAGCTTTCCAGAGAGCATATGTTCCACAGCGTTGGGTGCGTATATCAACTCCAGCAGCTCCTTCAATCCCGAACCCGCCATTAAGTGACCAATACTGCCAAGAAAGATCATCAAAGTATGGAAAGAGCCAAGTCTAGGAATAATCTTTCGCAGTTTACTGTCTTGAGACTCAGTGTTGATCAGCGAGAATGCCTTATGCCAAAGGGGCTGGTCGTAAGTAACGATAGGATTTTCAATTCCATGTTCTTCTGCATGCTTGCAAACAAAGTGAAGTGCAGAGTTGATACAGGTAATGTCACTAGCGTTCATGTCAATCATCGGTAAAACAGTATAGATGACTTGCCGGGTATTTCCTTGAGATGGTTTTGCATAAATCCTCCCCAGTTCGGTCGACTAACATCTCTGAATAGCAATGATGATTTCCATAGTACATCCAGATTTGCTGTTGGGTCTTCTACACTGGCAATGGTAACCTCTTTAAACTTGATGTCTAAAGTTGCCTTTCTTGGTTGTGAAACCGGTATAATTTCTATTTGACCAGTTGATAAGATGTCTTGATCTTTAACCTTTTTCCTTGGAACTTGGCTTATTTTATTTGTACCTGGTGTTACCATTGCAATTATCCCTGTACCGTGAAATGTACCATGCCCGTCGATAGTTCGGAGATTATGGTCGAGGTTATCCAAACCATACTGTGTAAACTCACCATTATAATCCGGGATTGTAGTCCTTGCGCACGTTTTCGTTTGAATGAGAGGACTTCTTCATATGACGAACAGAAACCAACATGATTAAGCGTGTCTATTAAAAACGCGAGGCAAAGCTGTGATGGAGTAAAACACCCATGCAATCTGTAAAGGTGGCAAAGCACGAGGACGAGTTGACTGCATAATCGCTTGACCAACAAAAGCTACTTTCCGAGATGTGTCTTTTCCTGAAAACAGTTGATTAAGAAGAAGCTGAAGTGTTGGGGGTAAGAATTCAAGATTTTTGTCAATGTCACTGTCGATTAACGGATATATGTCGTTTGGTGTTTCAATGTTGAGCTACCTTTAAAAATGCATCGTTGGCAGTGTTGTTGATTGGTCGTCCTGATTTGCGCTTTTTGAGCGGTGGTTGGTCATTAAATGGCGCTGGAATTCTCATTTTTGTCCTGAAGTTTGTAAGGCATAGATGATGATACATTGCGTCAGCTGCCGGTAGGTCATGCACACTTTGGATCCTTGATTTTACGGACTCGGCCCAGTCATCGCATCTCACTTTGCAAGCATTCAAGATAGTGTCTTGAATGTCCATAGTCCTAACAGTGCAAACAACACGCCCCCTTTTGCGCTCTTGCTCTTGATTAATTTCATTTCCGCAAAACAAGCAATCTCTTCTGAAATCGAACTGAACTGAACTTTGTGAGCGAAGGGTTCTTGGTACGGGATGACGCTCTTCCTTCTGACGTAACGATTTAGAAATATATGATGGATTTGTGTATCGTTTCCTACATGCTATGTGAAAGTTGTCACCTTCACGGACGTCAAATGTATCGCCTCTTTTTTTACTAGCTCGGTTTATACCATCTATCCCTTTAGATGTTAGAGCCACCCCGTTGTTCACAATTGATTCTTTACATATTGCACAGTACTGACGCAGAATTTGATCCATCCTATAATGATTCACAAGCAAAATAGTGTTCGACAACACAAAAAAGCCTGGTTTTATTTACTGGTTTATGCGATATTTTACAGCCCTAATGTATCTATGGCTTTGAACGCGGTATTATAATGCAAACATTGTATTTGGTAATTAGGTCGCTAATTATAGCCCCCTCTTGTTAGTTTTAACTTAAATTATTGTGACCCACAATATTGACGTATTCATTCATTGTAAAATGTAATAGCAATTAAATAATACATTCATTAACTCATTGTCTTCAAGTTATCTATTTTGCTTACCTTGAGGAGAACAAAGAAACGTCACATTTTGATGCCAATAATGAGCCAAAGCTTCAATTTGAAGTATTGAAAGGGAAGTCACATTAGATAAAATAAATATCCATCTAAACACGTGCGTAAACAAACGTACTTCAAACACGTTTTTTGTCTAAAAAACTACCAAGTCAGCGAAAATTAGTACCCAAAAAAGGAAGATCAGTATTTTTGACGTAAATAAAGGACAAAATATTAATTAATTTACAAAATATCATTATCTACTTGTTTTAATTCAATATATTTATATTTGTGCTTTACTAAGTGTTCTAAAAGGATAAAATCTAAAACATTAATTTTTGAGCCTCGTTTCCATGTCGCTCAGATTTTCAATCCAAATGCCTCAAATAAACGTTTAACACGATGTTGCCGTGCTAGGATTTTGTGGGACTTTCGATATTTTATAAGGGATATCAAATATACCAAAATCAGTTGGAATTTCTTTTGTGGAAATTTGTTCAAGCTTAGAGTGTTTTTGGTCGTAGATTGACTGGACTACAATGATAATTCATTCTGCGTATTGGAATGTTTTCATGATTGTAAACTCTATGCCATTTACATTTTGTGCAGGATATAACAATTAATATTGATTTTCTATAGTAAACAGCTGCATGATATGAACGGTTTTAAATGGAGCAGCATCATTTCAAAAGGACTATAGCCTTCATTTTGCACACATTTTAGGATCCTACAGATAAACTTGACTCACTACATATCAGGATATCAACAAATGAATAATTTATGTTATTTTGCATCTTCAATGTGTTTATGTAACATTGGCATCAATCCTGTCTTAATGAGGGATTATATTCATATATTCTGCTATACCTGGCTAATTTCTTTTCAAAACAATTTATTTTCAAAGAAATCAGCCTGGCATATGAATATGAATATGTCCCCATATCGGATTGACCCCATGTTGTGTAAAGATCATTTATTTAGGTAACATATCTTTAAGTCAGAAGGTTCGATATACAAAGTGAAGCAAAGATCTAACTTGTATTGATTGCATAATAACTGCATTTCATTCCCAACTTCCATCAACAGATATCTACTTTCACAGAGCTCAGTTATATATAATCCTTTCATTGTTTTACTGGCTTAGAGCAACATAATGAATATTGGGTATTAACCTTCAGTACTAAGATTAACAAACTGCTTTGTTCAAGATTTTCATTGTCATCGACATCGTATTCTTAAATGTTGTCGTGAGTTTTTAAAAGTTGCCGTGAGTTATTAAATGTTGTCGTAAGTTTTTAAATGCCGTGAGTTTATAAATGTTGGTAGTTTTTAAATGTTGCTGAGCTTTTGAAATGTTGTCGTCAATTTATAAAAGTTGCTGTGCATTTGTAATGTTGCCATGTATTTTGAATGTTGTCTAGCTAACATTGCTGACATAAGTTGCTGTGACATTATAGGCCATTTTTATTTTTCAAAAAATTATCATTGAACGACAATCAAGAACTATTTCGATACTGCTTATTTAAACGATTGTAAATTGAGCGCTGGTTTGACTTTTGCTTCAAAAATGGAGGTAATTTCCCTTACAACTATGCAAACATTAAGGACATTTTCACTGTTATGCATAGCTACTGTTTATTCAAATTAAAATATCCGTGCAAAATTAATCGACATGATATAACAATCATAAGGTAGGCATAATACAACAATCGTTTTATGAAAATGAAAAGTTATTTATTTTCTTATGTTTATTCATTGTGATTAAAAGTTTCATCGGATACGACATGACAGCATAGGTCCATGTGAGAAAGTTCGAACTCGAGGAAAAGAAATACTGACCATTGGTATAACATTGTGAAGGAGTGGGATAGCTACAGGAACCTGTACTTCTGCGATGAGGTTGGTGCATGTTCCAGGAGTCGACCAAAGTGCTTTGCAACATAAGGAAGAAAGCCAGAACGATCAAGATGATAAAACGAGCCATTTCGTTTTTGATCTATATCAAATTTATGATGAATTGGGCATCGTTGTTTAAAAGGTCGAAACTATGCGAATATATCTTTGTTGCTCGAGCGTTATTTGCATTACGGAGGAATTAATATTTCTGTATGCAGTAAAAGGCGCTATTTGGACAGACTAGATGTTCATACTGAATAACAAGTTCTTATTAAGTTTAAACTGATAATGTCAGAATTTTTAAAGATTTATGCAGTTTTGTGGTAAATTAGTTTAACAACTTCCAATACATCGTTATATTTCTTCAATTTCATCCTATCAAATGTTACTATGATCATACATCTTCTAGAGGCTGAAACAAATACTCAGGATATCGGTTAGAGCAACAAAAAAATATTTTTCCATCCAATTCACGAGTGCACAACTTTTCCACGTTCACTGACTGAGGTAATCGGTGGCGCATGCGGGCGTGTATTGCCAAATTTTTTACACAGCGGGGCTTCTCTGTCATAAAAACTAGCAAAAGAACAAAATATGTATTGTTTGTTACTGTTTGTGTAAGCAATTAAAATAAACGGTCATCAACTTCTCTAAATAATTGTAATCTAACAGCTTGCATTTACTGTTACGTATAGGAATGCTAAAGCGTATGAATTCATAAGCTCATTGCAGTTGAACGTTTATATAAATGCTTCAAAATTTAAAATTATAGTACAATGTTGAAGAACAAGAAAAGAGAAGCTGACCCTTCTAACATGACAAAGAGATCTGAAAATGGGAGTTGAGCCACTTGAAGCCCTTGTCAAATACTCCCTTCTTTTGTTGAACTCATGTGTATAACAGGATTCGTTGGAGGGACGTCTTATTAAATGTTGTTATGTAAGGAGAAAACATGGAGATCAACGGATTTCCATCTTTCTCAACTTTGTGAGCAGTTATGATAAGAGAAATTTGTTTAAAATGCAACCCTTTGTCTCTGTGAAGAATGCGCACAAATTTCTCAATAGGTAGCAGAGCACTGTCTCATAACACGGCTGTGTTTTCTAGTCCAGCAAGTTGTTGAATATTCCCGGTCTCCTACAAAATGTTTTATAAAACAAAATGTTTCCTTTCTTAAAGTAGCTGAAGACATGATCAATGACCAAAAATGTATGGAAAAATCAATGCCTGTTTTGTATCTAAGGTAGAGTCATATGGAAGTAGTCGTGTCATTTATAATTTTCTTGTTTATGACGCTCTATTATCCATGAAAATTTAAGTTTTATTATGAATTTTGTGATGTATAAATAGCTTTAATATCATTGTCTCGAGAAGACTATCGCACCACAACTGTTTCCTCAAGTGTAACAGCAAAAGATTTTACCGGAGCAATGAATTCGATACATTCTGTTTATTGTGATGGCTGAAATTTATGTACTCTATTCTAATGCTATGGCTATAAAAAATTTGATTTGACAATTGAGCAGTACGTATAAAAGTAATTTCACTTATGACACGTAGCGAAAAATGAATCACCAGTACAACAACACTGAAGGTAACCATGTTAAACATATTAAATTAACGGAATTAGCTTTAAGCCCAGAGAACAGGTATATTCATGAATGGGATGGCAAAAGAAACCTTGTTGCCAGTAGCGGATCCAGCTTCTGTCAAACTAAATTTTAGCTCCTGAAATTTTAAATTCAAAGTACCTTCAGAAAAGCACTATAGGTTTTGAATTTCTAAAGAATATAATTTCACCAATGTATATGCCTCTGAGGAGTTTTTTATACGTGGCATTTTACATGCATCGAATGCATTAGATACAAAAGAAATGACATAAGATTCCTCAATATCTTTTGTTTTTAAGGCAGTCGACTCATGTAAAATTCAAGATAAAACAGGTCAGAGGGGCTTAGAAATGCAAATATATGCTAAAATGTGCTGCAGTAATTTATTTTGACTTACCCATTTACCCTGGATCTGCCTTTAGTTATCGATGCTTGAAATGTGCATTATCCCAATGATTTATTGCAGAACTTATAGTTAATGTATAAAATACGTTTGTCCTCAAAATACCTATGCATGATGATTGCGACATGCTATATGATGACTTTTAATAAAATGATGACTGTTTATCAAGTTAAGCTTGTTAAATTAACTTACTGGTTCCAGAAACTACATAAACCTTTCAAAATACTTACACCATTTGTTTGTATTCAATAAGAGCTAGTTATTTTGTTTGAACAGCAGTAAATTTCGTTTCAGTAAATTTCGTTGCACCTGATCGAGAGTTCTCACAAACGTCTTCGCAGTTTGTATAAGCCAGTGCAAACACGAAAAATATCTTTTATTTCTTTTATAAAATAACAATAATGCGAAACTCACAAATTGAAATAAACGTTTTGATTTTTCCTCTAAAATGCATTCATGACCGATTTGCAAACTCTCTTTGACTGATTGATGGTTATGATTGATTTGATTGGTTGAGCTAGGGAAGTGTTTTGCACAGGCTAATGCAAACACAGCTGTAGACCAATCAGTGCACGCGTTTCATTTGGTTTATTTTATAGATTATAATGTTTTTATTGATGATGGCAAGAATATAACTCATCCATTCGCAGGTTGATAGAGATTTGACTCTTTACTTTATGTGGGCTTGATAGCTCAACAGGTATAGACGCGCAACAACATCCCAAATGTACAAATTAATCATCGTCCAAGTCGTAAGTTTTTCATAAGCGTATATAATCGTTTTAGATTCATATTAAGAGAAATCACTTTCTTTGCAATGAGTAACTCCTAGAAAAAAGAATTCGCCTGCTTTTAAAACTGCGAATGCTTCTACGGCGAAATTCCACCAAAGTTCTCAATTTAAGAACCATTAGCATGATTTTTAAATTTAGAAACTGGTTGTGTTTGCATTTGATGAAAACGAACACAGAAATATTTGCGTAGCAGAAGTAAAATAGCTACTCACTAGCTCCGTCGTTTACTGCAAATTGAGATTAAATTTTTTATGGTTCAAATGTTTAGAACTCGAATTTTTGCTTCCGGAATTTATTTGGAGGCGATGATTTTAAATTAGCAAAAGGGTTACAAGTATAAATTGAAAATAATGAAAAGACAATAAAACAACAAAAAACTACATTCATTCAATGAGAAAAGCAGTTCTTAAAGCAGTTCCTCCTGAAGCTCTTAAAGCATTTCAGCCTGAAGTAGTTCCTGTTTCAGCATCCCCACCGTTGCCTACTTCGTCATTAGGGATTTCTTCTCGTTTCCTTCCGAAACGACGTTTACAGAAACCTCTTTCATCAGACCAATCGCCACAGTTATTAATACCATTGCATGCTAATCTCCAATTAATGCACCTTAAATATAGAATATGAGATTTCATAATATGTACACTTTAGGACAACTGTCCTATTGATGCAAAAATTCAAGTTTTAAAACTGTGAAAAAATTGAAAAGCATATTTCTTTGATTATATTATATATGTATTCTGAAAGGGTTATTTGCCAATAAAAAACATCTGGCTTCGACAAAATTCGGACTAGTATCTCAAAAGATGCGCGAGTTCAAAGATAAACCACATGTTTTTCATGTGCAAATAACAGTGTCTGAATTTATATTCTGATTCTCTGAGCATGCATGGCTTTAAAATATAGAAAATATGTCAATGCCTGCAGAAAAAATTAAGAAAGGAAAATCATTTTCGTAATATTTGATACGCTTGCTCTAATGAACTAAAATTTTACTATTTCCGATATTTCTGTAAAACATGCAAATCTCTAAAAAAAGCTGCGAATTAATTTGAATCATAAACATGAAACATGCATAGACAGGGGAAAAGAAGTGGACTTCTAAAATTTCTGTTAATATATTACATGGAAATCGTTGCTGAAGACCGACATGGGTGTTGTATGATTTAAACATAGTATTGTAAAATAAGTGCTCTTAAAAAACCAAAGTAATCTTTGAACGATGATTTAACTAATGGAGGAAATACGAAAAATAAAAACAGAAAAAAATCACCGTAAAAAGCTTCATATTTCATTACATAAACATTTTCTCATGCACAACTACCACAGCATATTATAATTAAGAGAAATTGGAATACGCTGTAAATTGCTTAGTTTCATTCTGCTTATACTTTAGTCTTTTTTGATGAAGCAAGACTTGAACATTTTTCTATCACAAATTGTACATTAGTCACGATGCCATGCTGTGAGCTACAGATCTTACTGTTTATTATAAACTTGAAAATACATGTTTCATTTATCAAGTTTTAATATGTGCAGAGGAATCGAGGCATTGGAAAAAACTTTAGTATCCACTGCATTTCAAAAAAACAGGTCAAGACATTACTTGTTATTCTTGCAACGATATTGATGTGGTCCACATTTGTTTCCAAGTGGAGTTGGACAACCAACTTCATCAGATCCATCTGGACAATTGTTGACCTTGTCACACACTCTGCTTTTAAAATGCATTTCCTTCCTTTTCTGCAAGCAAATAAATATTTGCTACGACGGCATTTAGGACACCCAACCTAAAAGACGACAACCTTTATCAGACAATGCAAAATAAGTGTTATTATTTGTTATTTAGCGGTCCAAAGCGATATTTTTTAGATTTCCAGCAATTTGATTGGCTGCCTGAGCGAACAGCTTTTTACAATATCTGCCCGTGAGCAGAAGTGATATTTTTTCGCAATGTATTTGCTTACGAAATATAATATAAATTTGTAAAACTGATTTAAAAGCGATGAAATTTGGTTAACGCTTTCTCAACATTAGTTGTATCGAGCCATTGGCCGTTTTACAAGGCAAATTTCTTCTAAATAAAAATAAAAAATAAATATTTTATTAAGCGTTTAGGTCGGCCGTATGGCAAAAATATTTTGGCCTCAGGCCGCTTTTGAGCCCGGACCTCCAAGCGGGTAAATAACATATATTTATCGCACATTGTCCATAAGCTTTACATTGTATGATAAAAATGGTTTTCTTAAGCAGATAACATTAACCTTAGTCGAAATAATTCTTGATATTATGCACTGCTTCATTCAAAAGTTATTAAATATTTGCTTGACAAAGTGACGAATGAACGTGAAATAAATCCACGAGTTAAAATTTAGACCTTATTTGTTTTAAAAACAACAGACATTTATGTTTTGAAAGTATTCTATAGGAGGTATTAAAAGCGAGTTTTAGTATGTACGTTTTTTACACACTTTTTGTACTTTTGAGTAGGAAATGTGTTCGTGTAATTAAAAATATTTTTCCTTTAGAAAGATACACTCTATCCTTATCACATAATGGCAGTAATGCTTTTGTCATTTGGTTTGAGTAAAATTGTTCTGCTTTGCCGTGAAAATGAAGCAGTTCCTAGGCAGGAAAAAACTAAAAATCATCTTAATTTGCTGCGAGATTCACATTAATATCAGTAATAACTTAGTAAATCACCTAGTAAAGAGGTAAAAGTCTTTTTACAATTAAACTGACTAAGACAAACATAATGATTATGTAGCTATGCCTTTTATAGTTATCGTGAAATTTTTTTGTAATTTCTGGGCTAAACTCATTTTTAAGAATTCCCCATATTTCTGCAAGTTCACAGTGTCTTGTAATTGGGGTCACTTTAGGCATGCAGAGCAGAAGAGCAATTTTCTTCGTGAGAAGAATTGAAACAAAGAACTTAGAATTGAAATGCATACGTGATTAAGAATGTCACTATGTTATTATCAAAATTTATCAAAGCTGCTAATTCACACTATAGAAAGCACTAAGAGACAGCAAATATCCGTCCATATAAATCAGACGAAAGCCAATTATTAACCTTGTCTAAACAGCAATTTACAGCATACATGGTAATTATAAGGACAAAATTCTGTTTTAATGGGCTTTTAATTGCCCTGGATAGGGAGAAAAATTTTATTTCTCGAACAATTTTTCACAAAAATCATAAAAATGTCAACCAATTTCTTATCAACTGATGGTACGTAAGTGATGGAAAATGGATTCAAAAGTTTTGTATGATTTATAAAAGACACCAAAGTTTGTTAGCTTATGAGTTATCCTGTTTACACACAAAGAGGCATAAAACAAACAGTGGATGCAACAAACATTTGATAAATACCTCATCACTTCCATCTGCGCAATCTTTAATGTTATTACATTTCCATTGCTTCTTTGTGCACTCTCCATTCTCACATTTGAATTGGCGACAAGGATTACAATGTTCCAAAACGATTCGTGAACGACTACCATAGTTGTAGCGAACACAGACATATTTCATTTGGTTGTACAAACTTCCTATAGATGGTTGATTAAAAGGAAATGGCTATTAATAATATTACAAATTATTTTTTAAGTCGATCGTCATGTTTTGGTCTAATAGTGACATTTTTTGTATATTATACAATTAACCTTAAACTTTTAAACTGAATATATCTCACCTCTGCAACATAAATAATTGTAGCTGAATGGTACAGTAACAGCACGTCTTCTTCCACATCTAAGGCTTACACATTTTCGGTTTGTGACTTGCATCTTGTGACGTATGAATACCCGTGTACACGTCTTATTCTTCTAATAAATCTCAAAGCATCCACTTCTTGTGAAAGAACGAGCAGTGATAAAATTGCAATAGAAATATGAAGGGCATTCATAATGAAAGAAAGGTCTCTGCAAAAGAGTAAGAATTTGCATGTAAGAACGTTGCTTTTGTTTGTGTGAATTTTTATTTAGTGGAAAGACACTTGAAAAGAAATGGCTATTGATGTGTTTTACTTGTCTATAGAACAAGACTGAAAGGTAGTTTTGCAATTGGTAGTCTGAATTATGAAATTACTGAATATGCAAAGTCTTCAATGCCTTTTAAGCTATAATGCACTAATATGAATTGACATTGTTCACAATATAGTACTACTACAATGGTCAACTGCTTTCATAGGAAAGAAGCATAAATTAACGAATGCAACCTCTGCAAATACCAGTAAAGAATCCAGGGTAGAATAACTCGAGTAATTATTTACAATCCGAAAAATAAACAGAAAAATATTGGTAATACATAATTTGCTCATAAATATGCTTCAGTAAGCCCACAATATACATTGTATTCTTATTAACTATGGATCCATCACAGGGTAAATTTACATGCTAATAATAGCTGTTATGTTGTATCAAAGTATTTAGAGCTGAATCACGTGGTGCCCTTATGGTATCCCAACATTTGTAATCTTGTAATTATATATCATGTATAACTTTGTAACGATAGATTTTAAGTCAAAACGATTCGAATATGTGTAACATCTAGTAAAGTGAAATATGTTTATAAACGATGAAACACTCAAGATTTGGTTCACGTAGCAGCGGATTTTCTCTGCAAGCAATTTAAACTAATTTAGTAAAATATGTATATTTGTTTTAGTATTCAATGTCCGGACCAATCTCCTTAAATTTATAAAAAATAATTATTTATTAAATTTATTAAAAAATAATCTCTTTAAAAATGATTACAATGAATGCACAAACATGTACATCTATATTTGAAAGGAAAAGTACTTCTAATTTTATAGAGAAAGAGAGCGCTGATTTTAGAATTGACTTTCTAAAATTCATTGCACCTTTATCGACAGTCACCTTTTAAAGGTTTGCTTAGAAAGGGAAAATATGCAGTTTAGTTTTAAAACATTATAGGTTTTACTTGCCTTTGCTTGATTAATTTAGAAAAGCCTTTTAGGATTATTATAATATAAAGGACATCTTATGTGCATACAATCCTTGTTGATGAGACTCAACTCACATGCAGGCACATTAACAAGTTCTCTGGCAATAAATAAGTCATGCCAAAATGACTTATAGTAGAAAATACAGTACAGTACCCTGTAGTCTCCGCCAAAACATTTGTGGAACAAACACGAAGCCAAACAAAACTTTTTGTAAAAGAAAATCAAGCCTTTTGGGATTGTATAAATTGAGTAGCTCTAAAGCAGTATAACCACAATACCTGACTTCATGTAAAAATTAGATATAAGTAGCACATACGTGATGTTTCTTCAACTTTTCTCTACTGAAGCGTCTATGCAGATACCTCCGTCGCTATTGAAGTGCTGTTGAAAGTGACGAGCTTTTGAAAAAAGAAAGGCATTTATGAATTTTAAAAACAGGATATCACGTGCATGTCATTGTTGACGAAGTTCGTGCAATGTAGGACGCCACATTCTTTGTTCTTTGTTAATCAAAATTTGTTCAACGTGGCAACTAATAATGCAACCTGATGATATCACAATGAACGTCAATTCTGGTTTTTCCATCTAGGCATTCCTGCAGAAAGTAAAAACTTTCACTTGTAAATAGATGAAAATTTACTCCTTTATGAGCTCTTCTAACGAAAACGTAGCTTCAAAATATTATATAGTATCGATCATGGCATTTAGCTATAGCCCGTACGTATATTTTTGATTTCACGGCACGGTGAGAATGAAATTCAATGGAACTCCCACTAGCTTTAACTTCTAGTTTTTATTTATGAATGCTTATTATTTGTTTTTATTTTAAATCTACTTTGAAGCTGTCTTATACTTCTTCTCGTTATCGTTGAAAAACTTTAACAACGATCAACGACCTCAAATTTTGTTGTTACAGTTGAACATGCAGCAGGATGTTGGCTTACTTGGCCAATTCTGGTCAAAATAAGTATTATACATATATCCTTTATTATTTAATTGCTTTTGCACTCAATGAACACAGCTAAAAATATTTCCATACAGCGTATTTAAAATTACATAGCAAAGTCACTATATAAATGGTAAGTTAAAATAGGTTTTGTCCATAGGTTTTGTCAGAGAAAGCTTAAAGCCCAGCAAATTTATTGGCATATAGTCTGGCCGGAATATGATTCAAATATGCCAAACACATTATGACGAACTGAAGTATTGTTATTATGCTAAACAATTAATTTTCTGAATGTCGTGAATCCAATGATGTTCGATTTTTGTTCTTTTCAAATACGTATTATTTACTTAATTAAAGCCAAACGCTTTTATTAGTACTTTATTTAAAGAAATGCATTACGTGCAGTGCAATTATTGACTGGAGCAGTATCTTGCTGGAAGAAAGTGCTTCATAGAAAGGAATTTTCACACACTAATGTGTGCTATCTTTGTCTTACAAAATAACACGAAGTTCTCCAGCAAGTCCATCAAGATATTGCCATGTCACAGTCAAAAAAATATCATTACATATTTTACCATCCAGTATAACTTGATAAATTCTGAGCGGTTCTTTTAGTGACTGCCTTTGTATTTAAGTACAGTTTGCATTTGCTCATATAGTTCTATAAATTTTTTACCTCAAAGAAATCTGTAATTTACCGTAAGTATTATAATGTAATGAATGGTAACATGCACTGATGACTTTTGTCGCGACAAGAACCAAAAAAGTTAAAATTAACTCCTACGTAATGACATTATTTGTGACTGTGACTTGGCAATATCTTCCTGGACCACCTGAATAGCTTTGTATTTTTTGTAAGACATAATTAAGATAGCACACATTACTTGATAGTGTATGAAAGTTCCTTTTAAATAAAGCAAATTCCATTCTGCCAACAACTCAGCTCCGACGCGGAAGAACAAAATCTACGTAGATGAAATGAATTTTTCTACCAATATTATAGTTTTCATTTTAATCTGTTTTAAACTGTCTTCTACTTCTCCACGATGTCATTAAAAATTGACAAATAACAAATTTTGTTCTTACAACTGCACCGGGCAACAGGATGTTATAGCTGAATGTATCACTAATACGCAAAATAGGAATTATACCAGCCAGCTTGGTACCTGTGGGGCGGAAGGACGAAAAATTCACTTAATTGTCTAACTATTTTTAATATATAATTGAATTCGAAAGAAAATTAATATGGCATATCATGTACGTAATGAATATTACCCCCCTCCCCCTCTCCCAATTATCGGGAAGGCTACGTGTCGGCATTATATATCCTTTATTATTTAATTGCTTTTGCACTCAATGAACACATGTAGCAATATTTGCATGTTAGCTTATTTCAAACTAGACATTAACGTTAATACATTTATACATAAGATGTGGACAGTATATTAAAACAGATTTTATCGGCAACAGATTAAAGAGTACTCAAGGCTCGTTAAATTTTATTGGCTTGAATTCTTGGATTAAGTTTAAATATGAGAAGCACATTGGTAGTGAATGTTGGGCTGAAATATTGTTATCATAATAAACAGTTCGATGCACTCAACAATGTTTCATTCTGTTTCTTTTGTATACGTATTATTTATTAGCGATCTAATAAGTACATTTTTATTGAAAGCATTACGTGTTGTTCAATGTACTGACTGGATCAGTATCAAGCGCCAGTTAAAATATACAATAGCTTACAACTCAACTCAGATTGATCATAACTTTGTAATAGAAGAAAAATGTCCAAGGACTTGTTATTTGACGCTTATCATTACCTCATCTATTCATACAAACTTGTCTAACACTCGAAAAGCGTATTTTTGGTTTTCAGGTATTTTAATATGTACAATGGTAGGATGCACTCCATGTTGAGTTTAGTCGTGACGATCAATTAACTCCAGCGTAATAAGATTGTTTGTGGCTTGGCATTATTTGTTTGTCTTCATAGATAATATTATGTATGTTGAGAGCGTTACACACATTTCGCATTTATCACGGATTAAAATCCTTTTAAATGAGTCTCTGTCATTTTGTAGCTGATTGAAAAAGATCACTCTTGTAATTAATATATATTCATTTCAACAAGGTGGATGTTTTTTCTTGTTTATACACAGTGTAATACTATGCGTGAGAACATAATATAATTGAACTGTATTTTATTTACCAAGAAAAGCTTTTGGCAAGAACTTGTATTCAAGTTCAAACTTTCAATGATGTTGATTTAGAGAATTTGAGAAGATAATTCGAATTCTTAACTTTTGCCGGCATCCAAAAAGTACTCGCTGGTAAAAATAGCTAAATTGACTAACGTTGGGACTAGTAAAAATGCTTAAACGTTATAAATATAAGCTTAACAAGAAAAAAATGATAGTATTTTTTCGAACCAGTGGTTCCACATTCTGCTTTAGTTTAGTTGTTATAGCTTTGCATCAATTAGACATGTTGGTATGAGTTGAATCAAATTTAATGCATTAGTACTGTCGATCATCACTATCCAGTATAAATTAATAAATTCTGAGCCGTTCTTTTAGTGACTGCCTTTGTATTTAAGTTCATTTTGCATTTGTTCATATAGTTCTATAAATTTTTAATCTCAAAGAAATCTGTATTTTACCGTAAGTATTATAATGTAATGAATGGTAACATGCACTGATGACTTTTGTCGCGACAAGAACCAAAAAAGTTAAAAATAACTCCTACGTAATGACATTATTTGTGACTGTGACTTGGCAATATCTTCCTGGACCACCTGAATAGCTTTGTATTTTTTGTGAGACATAATTAAGATAGCACACATTACTTGATAGTGTATGAAAGTTCCTTTTAAATAAAGCAAATTCCATTCTGCCAACAACTCAGCTCCGACGCGGAAGAACAAAATCTACGTAGATGAAATGAATTTTTCTACCAATATTATAGTTTTCATTTTTAATCCGTTTTAGATTGTCTTCTACTTCTCCACGATGTCATTAAAAACATTGACAAATAACAACAACCTCAAATTTTGTTCTTACAACTGCACCAGCCAACAGGATGTTATAGCTGAATGTATCCCTAATACGCAAAATAGGAATTATACCAGCCAGCTTGGTACTTGTGGGGCGGAAGGACGAAAAATTCACTTATTTATTTGACAATTTTTAAAATATAATTGAATTCGAAACAACATTACTAGATAGTGTGAAAAAATTCCTTTTAAACGAAACAACTTTTATTCTGCTAGCAACTCAGCTCACACACAGAAAAACGAAATGTACGTAGATGAAATGAGATTTTTTATACCAAGAATATTGCTGACGTTTACTCCTCATTTGACTCCGAAGATGACTTCCGCTAAGGTTGTCGAAACGTCAGTCAACAACAACAAAAACAGTTCTTCTCAGGACTATTCCAACCTGGACGATCTACATTAACAAACATGTAACGATACTCCTGGTCTCAAACCATTAACTTTGATATTGCTTAAATTAGCTTTTAGCAAAAACGTACTTGTTCAACGTTTACGTAATGAATACTACCCTCCTCCCCTTCCATGGAATTATCGAGAAGGCTACGTGTCTGTATTATACATTCTTTATTATTTAATTGCTTTTGCACTCAATGAACACATCTAGCTAGGAATATTTGCATACTAGCTTATTTCGAAATAGACATTAACGTTACTATGGTTATATATGCACGGTATATTGACATAGACTTATCAGCAGCAGAGTAAAAGAATAATCAATGCTCAGCAAATTATGTTGGATTGAATATGGGATTTAGTACAAATACGCGAAGTACATTGCTAGTGAATGATGGGCTGAATTATTATTATCATGATAAACAATTCGATGCACTCAATAATGTTTCATTCTGTTTCTTTCGTATAGGCATTATTTATTACCAATCTAATAAGTACATTTTTTAACGAAAGCAGTACGTGTTGTACAAAATATTGACTGGATCAGTATATATACAGCGTATATTAAAATATATAATAGCTTACAACTCAACTCAGATTCATTATAACTTTGTAATGAGAAAAATCTCCATTGACTTGTTATGTGACGTTAGGTTATGTTAGCATTAGCTCATATAGTTATACAGACTTGTTTAACACTCGATAATCTGTATTTTTCGATATTTAAGGTATTTCAATATGTAGCATGCACTCCATTTTGAGTTTATTGTCGTCACGATCAATTGACTCACGCGTATTAAGATTATTTGTGACATGGCAATGTTTGTTTGTCTTCTATGATAATATTATGTATACTGTTGAGAGCGTCATATTTCTGTAAAAGACATAAGATAACGCACATTACGCATTGATCAAGGATTAAAATTTTTATAAATGGGGAGTTTGTCATTTTGCAGCTCGTTAAAAATCGAATAGGCTCTTGTAATACATATTCATTCCAACAAGGTGGTGATTTTTCTTGATTACACACAGAATATATAGTACACTACTATATGCGTGAGAACGAAGTATAAATGAGTTGTATTTATTTAAAAAGAAAAGCTTTTATCTGCACTTCAATGAAGTTGATTAAGAGAATTTGAGAACATAATCTGAATTCTTAAAGAGCACATACAACTATTTTCAATTTTTTATTCACAAATAGATTTTGGATAAATAATATAAATGCCGTTTACAGAATTTGAATAACTTTTTTCGTTTTTGAGTTATCTTTCGGCAAAGATGCGAATAAAACCTGAATTTCAACGTTTTGTAAAAAATGTCGAGAGCTTTAATCCGTGGCATGGGACTTACTTGTGACGTCATTTAAGGAATACAGACTGACTACCAAAACAACTTACACTGTTTATGCATGTAAACAAACACAAAAATGCCAGATCGATGTGTAGTTTTTGGTTGTTCTAACGTAGCCAGTTCGGAGAAAGTCATTTCACTTCATCGCATACCATTTTATAACGACGAAAGAAGCGAAGCTAAGCATAGGAGAAAGCGATGGGTCAACTTTGTGAAAGCTGCTCGCGATAAGTGGGTCCCCACAAAGAATTCCGCAGTTTGTCGGAAAAGATTCGTTTTCTCGGCAATTCGGCTCGTTTTTTGAATCAGAAAGTAATTTTGCACCTCAACTCATTCGAGACGAATTCGGAATCGTTGCTTACCCGAGCATTTATCCTCGAAAAGATACTACCAACTAAGCTCGCACGCACCCCTGGAAAATTATTGCAGTTAATTACTAGGAAATATGGACTTAATCAACCTTGTGTAGCTGCGCATTACTGAAGTATCTTATTTCATAGATGAGTATTACAACAACCGCAGCAATGAAGAATCATCAACTAGGAGCAAAGTGGTTGATGTTGATAGTTGTCCTGCTGAGGAGGTTTTGGACCCAAATGATCTTAGTGGTGACTCAGACTCAGAGAGTGATCTTGGTGCTAAACAAAGTTATGAGACTGAGACAGAAGAGATAATCACATCTAGTGACATGGATGTCGACTCTGAATCAGAGCAGCCAAGAACATTTAAATGGTAACAATTTTTGGATGAGAACTGTAATGTATCAATCATCATGGCAATGTTTAAATAGTTGTGATTGTTAAATAAATCAAAGTTAAACAGCTTATATAATCAGTCACTACCTTGATGACATAAATAATGTGTGCCAGTATGTAATTGTATTTATTGATAGCTACTATTGCATTTCATAAATTGAGTTTTTCTTTTGTAGAGTGCTCAACAAAGACACCAACCTGAGAACAGAGAAAAATTCATTGTTCTTCACCCAACTGTTTGCACTTTTCAAATTCTGCCCAATTTGCAAATCAGATGATGTTCTTGTTGAAATATTGCAAAATGGTTCAATGGCAAAGTGAAAGTTAGTTGTTCCAATCAAAAATGTGGAGCAGACTTCAATTCCTGCTGGAAATTTGCTATTGTCATTTGGTATTTTGACTTCTGGAACCTCTGCCACAAAGGTGATCAGAGTTCTACAGCACATGGGATTGGCATGCATTTCATTGAGTACATACTTCTCTCACCAGAGTGTAAGTAAGACTTATCCGATGGGGTTAAAGAAAGTTGTAAAGAAATTACCACAATCAAATGAAAATCTTGAAAGTCTTTTTAAAATTTTGTGTAGGAAAAACTATATCCTGCATTGGTGATCTACTGGAAAAAATACCAAGACAGTTTGATAGAGAAAGTGATGGCATGTAAACAGCCTATTGCAATTGCTGGGGATGGAAGACACGATTCCATTGGACATAGTGCCAAATATTGTGCATATACAACATTCTGTTGCACAATACCTCAAATCATTAGTTTTTCTCTTGTGCAGGTACATTTCTTTGAATTATGTGATTTTCTTCTTTAAAATTATTTACCTATTTGCTATTTTAAATGTAGATATGATCTTCGCACTTTGCTGGACAATTTAAGCAATTGTCTCAAGAACCTGAAAATTCAGGTGACTCATGGGAATGTGAGTATAACATTCTTGCATATTTGCTATTTTGTAGAAATGAAGTTGGAAATAAGCTGGTATGGAGTTAAGAGATCAATGGATTTTCTTAAATCTTGCAACATTCTGATCTCCATGTTGATCACTGACAGCACACAAATAGCCAGACATATGAGAGAGAATTGTCCAAGTATTACCCACTACTTTGACCTTTGCATTTGACAAAAAGTAATGATTTTTTTAGTTAATTAAGCAGTACTTTATGAAGCAAAAATTTAACATATAGCTAGTATACAATTTACTACCTATACTGGCATCAATAATTAAAGTTTGTATCTAAAATCTATTTTATATTTTATCTTAGAAGTGACCAAAGTCCCGACCAAACTTGCAAAATGTTTTGGATGTGAGTCTTTATCGAGCTGGATAAGACCTTGTTCCAACCATTTGTACTGGAGTGTTACATCAACACCCTCTGGTAACGGAAATGTGAATGTAGCTAAGTTCAAGTCTTTCCTTGGTCATGTCAAAAACCAACACAGAGGATTTTCAAAGCCTTTATTTGACAAACGTGCTCATGATTCAAACATAAAACCATGCAAATGGCTAAATGAAGGTTAAAAATCTAAAGCAATTCTTGCTGCTATTAAAAAAAATTTTTGTGTGTGTAGTAATCTCTTATTCATTGCCTTGTCTTTAGATTCTATATCATACAATAAAATGTATGCAGCTTTAACTAAACCAAGGTTGATTGCTGGAATCATGAAAGCTTCTCCAATGTCTCGAACAAGTGCATTGGAGGGATTTCACTCAGTTCTTAACCAGTTTGCACCCAAAATGATAAGCTACTCTTTTCCTGGGATGTTCTGCAGGTATTCTATGAAACATGTGTGATGAAACACCTATGTATCATTACAATTTTTATTCCCTTGTGCCAATTTAAACTCTTTCAAGAAATTGAATGCAATTTTATATTTCATGAAGGCATATCCTTGCTGTAACTCACTTCAACAGAAATTTGGACAGGGATAATCAAGAGGTTAATGGAGTTCCCCCAGGTTAAAGTGCATTATCCAAAATTTAAAAATGGTGAAGCTGTTGTAAGAAATGTAAAAGTTGCTCAGGATTTTGGTAAGGTTATTTAATATATTTCTCTTACTGCCTGATATCATGTGTTAAATGCCATAATAATCAAAGCCTTAATAAGAAATGATTACCATAAAATAAAATTTTGAATAATTTGCACATTGCTCCTCCAGGGTATGTTGAAGATATATATCAAGTGTTGTGCTCTGCACTCATTGATGAGGAAACATTGGAAAAAGCCAAAGGTGATCTTTTACGAATGGCTCCATTGCCAATGAATTCTACGTTGGACAAGCAATCAAAAAGTGAAGCTATCTCGAAAAAAGCAAGAAGACAAAGCATGCCAGCTGTACATTTCCCCCAACTAAGCCAGGTTTTACAAAAAGGCATTACTTGTTTTGAGTTAATTTCAATCTTATTTTTGGAACTGACTCACTTTATTGTTTGATATGGCTGAAGTTTCACCTGTCCAAGAAAAGATCACTAATCAGGAAAATGAGAGCAGCACCTCGATGCACTGTGTGCAAGAATTGGATGAATGGCCATAAAAATATAATTAACTGTCCAAAAAACCAAAAGTAACCAGTTTTTTAGGACCTGGTGGTATGAGCCCACTTAGTTGGGATTCAGTGAAGTGTGAATTGACTGCATGGAAAGAATAAAGAGAAAGGAATTGTAATTTTGTATGTTTTGTATAACAAGTATAAGTGTGAATCAAAGATGCAATATATCAAGAGTGGCTTAAATCATTCCACACTTCACTGAATCCCTACTAGCTGGGCTCATGCAAACAACACCTAAAATGATATATAATGTTATGTTATTTTACAAATGGTCCTCTTCATACTCTGCAAAGTGTTCATTTTTTTTAAATTAAAAGTTGTTCGAATAACATGGTAAGCACAAGCTGGAAGTGGAATTCTTTTGTCTCGAAGAATGCCATGTACCATTCTTGTTAATTGTCTATATGCAACAACTCGAAAAAACCTGAAAAAGGCATAATACACAAGGTCCATTAAAACAGGTAGGAGTCCATAAAATACAAATTTTGCAAGGTGTGCATTCATAGATAACCCAGACAGAGACATTTAACTATTAATTCTAACAAACCTTTGCTCCAAGAATCCTTTACGATATCTAACTCCATCTCGTCTTTGGTAAAGATTGGCAGCTAAATTTAATGCCCATCGATTGAGGCAAATGGCATGAAATCCTGGATGCTCTGCGATGCATTTTGGCTGCCTTCCTAATTCGGATACCACCATATGATCTTGCATTTCAATCATGCAATTGGAAATTTCGTGGCAACATCTACATTCTTTTGAATTAAGCAAGAGAGGAACACGGCAGTTACCACAATTGCAGCTACGAAAGTTATCTGTCAAAAGCTTCGGCAACAATAAACAAATTTTCCAACTTTCCTTACCAAGAATCAAGAGGAACTTCATTTTGCATTCTGCGTTCGAGCTCTTCTCTTTGGCGCCTTTCTTCTTCTGTCTCTCTATTATAGTTTTCTAACCAGTCATCATCAGCAAGTGGTTCGTTTTCATACGCTTCAGCTTGGCCGTACTCAAAATCGCCATCGGTGTTTCGGAGCGCATTTGATGACGATTGATCTTCGTCTTCTAAATCGAATTCCCGACTGTTCAATTCAATATTTTCCGCTGTTGTTGCTGTACTCGACTCAGAATCGGATGTCGACATGTTTCGTACAATTTTTATATTAATTTCAAAGCAATATATAAAGAATTGTTATTTCACACTGTGTTGTTTTGTATGCAGCGCATTCAAACGTTCCTTAAATGACGTCACAAACCTCTCGTTTTAAGTCCCCTCAGAAGCGCGCGGAAATTACTCAAAAGCAAGCTAATTCAAACCGCAGAAAAAACTTTGTTTTTTCTTTTTTTACGAAATTTTTTTCGAAATCATATTTTCCACAGTCTAAACTTTAAAACTTTAAACTTTAAACTTTTAATGCAGGCATTAAAAAAGAAGGTACGCAGAGTGTACATTTGGGCAGCTTGATTGGACGCCCTTACACATTAATACATATCTGACACAAGTAATGAAATAAAATAAATTTATGAAGACGTTTAAATGGTGTTATACATATATTTATCGTACCCAACATCAAACTTTAAAGGCATCAAAATAAACAAGTAAGTTTTCACAAACATCTTTATAGTTAATTACAAAATATATTCCTCGCTGAGGTTAACCGTCACAATCACACATCGACAACATTGCTACAAAATAACAAATAGCTACATGAATATAAAGTATTGACATTTGTCTATAGCCAACAGGCTTGTGACAAGATACCATGTGTGATATAAGACCAATTATCTGAATCTATAAAAATGAGTTGAGCATCTTCCAATCCATGCTATAGCTCTTTGCCATTGTGGATGTTTTAAGAAGCTTTGGAATGCTCTTTAACTAAAGACTAGACCTTTCAGTTCAGCATTTTTTCCATGAACGATCGCATCAATTTCCAAGACGTTCCAAATTTATGAAAGAGTGGCTAAGGAGTTCTGTTTTGTTATGATTGCAATTTTTGTTGGTTTTGTTTGCTTTGTTTGTCTTGACGTTGCTAAGTTCATCTTTATACAACCATTTAAAGATGTTTGTTAGGCACTTTACAGAACATACTAATAATCAAATTTTGTTCAATTTTCGTAATGGAGTCTATCATTCAGTAATTTATAAGCATTTCCACACTGCAATTTTTTGTTAAATGAACTTCATTCCTTTGTCACGAGGTATTTTCATAATCGAAGTTTCACTTATGATGATAATGATACAACTTTTACCTTATTGAGAGCAGACCCAAGCATTTTGAAGACTATAGTGAATAAAAGTTCAAAATAGAGTGAGTAAAAGATTATTAAACCATTTACTTTACAGCAGAAACAATTACCTGAGCTGTTTGATGTTCTAGGATTCGTTTGATGGGGTTAATTGTAAAATACGCTGCTAGCAATCTAAGAAAAAATAAAAACAATAATCATGACAATGAATAAACTGTACGGAAGAACAAAAGTGTAAATTACTTACCTTTTTGTTTATGAAAAGCAAGTCGAATGATGAATATTTTGTACGCTATTTGTCTACTATGTCAATGAGGCGGTTGTCTTCATTTACCATTTTATTAAAAGTCGTCAATGGTCATACTTAAAAATCATCTCATTACAGTAATGGGTTCTTCCATTTCCTTACCTTAATTTAAGCCCAGATTTCCTTATGGTCACTGAAGTAAGTTTCGAGAGTACCTGTTTGAAGCTCATCTTTCTTTACGTTGGTGTATAAGTGGTCAATCAGAGTTTTGTTATCTGTGGTGTAATCTGTTATTAGTTGCCGAGGGCCATTATCAATAATCATAAGGTCGTAAATTGATTGTCGATTAGTGTCATCCAGCCAATTCACATTAAATCTCTCATCATTATTATTTGGTTGGTGAAATTTTCCTGAAGGATGGTGCGTAGAACTGTTAAAAGTTGTGAGATAGGAATTCTTGGTGATCTGTATATTTCAATAATCCAGTAGATTTATGGTTGAACCTTGAACTAATTCCCACAAAAGCTAACTCTTCAAAAATATCTTTCCTTTCATGTACAGAACAACATATTAAAAGTCCCACATGATATGAGGCCGGCAACTTCGTAAAATAATGTTTTCTGTGAAATTATGACATGAAAACGAGGCTATAAACAAGAATTACAAAATAACACTGCTTTGACCTAACGAATATCATATTTGATTGTATAAATCTGCAGCGTGGCTATTAAAAATCATGTTAAGTCTTCAACGACCGAAAAAAAGGAATCCTTTAGGTTAAATAGTAATACAAGAGTGTCACTAAATTTACATATGGTTGATATAGTGTACTTTGATTTACAAAGGCATTTCCGTCATTTCATACTTTTGTTAATCATCTTCAAAATCAACACCACTGTTAGTGCAACCAGTACCTCTACATTGACCACATGCCATTGTGCAGTGAAGTCCATTTTTACGACAGGTACATCTTGTAGTTGAACAATTTGTGGTACAGTTGCATCGTATCATATTAAGCAAGTTTTCAGGAGCTGCTGGAAGATCAGTTTTTCTAGGTACGATAACATAACCGCACATTTTCCAACCAAATGCATCAATCAACAATCCTTCGTCTTGACTCTGCCATTGCTTAACTTGAAGAAAGACTCTCAATGAATGATACTTGGCTGCACTAGATGCTGGGGGAAGACTTTGGGGCTCTACCATTCGGCCTTTAGCGCACACCTTCTCGTAGTACTTCCTGTGGCGCAAACTGTCTAGAGTCTCGCCTTTTTATCCTCCATACATGCAGACCAAGGCATTTTCACCACTCTGGATAACCGTATTCATGCTGACGTTTGAAACTTCAAATGCTGATGCTTGTTCACGGAAATAGTTTGAATCTGTGAATTTCTTAAGAGGTGCCGATTTTCCAAGGCCAAAGGGCCGGGATGTCGTGTCACAACCAGCAATAGCATGAAGAAACAAAATGTTTTACACAGAGATTCACCCAGCTCTGATCTCACTATTCTCATGTTCCATACTCTTTCCGTTCTACGTTTAGTTGTTTTCTTTGGTTCTGGACGAAAATAAAGACCACATCCCTCATCCACTTTGACGTAATAGCACATTAAAACAAGAAGATCTGTATCATCTCCAACAAGAACGGTAGGAGATTTCATGGCACTTGAAACAGCTGACTTTACTATGAGAAGATCAGCGTCGCCATCGGCTTGGAGTGTAGTACAGCCATTCAAATCCAGATAATTTCGAAGAGTAGTTATAAGTCGTTTCTTGTTGTGTATATTAGCCAGGAATACATCTCTTTTCATTGTTATCTTCATGTCAGCTTCGAATGACACTGTTGCCCCAACGTTTCCGGATGATCTTCGTTGTTGCGCCATGTTCTTAGTAGATTGGTTATCATAACCGTCAAAAACAATACAACTTCCTGCCCCATATTTCTGTTTTACATAGTGGCAGTACTTCTGGCACAATTCTTGAAAGGTTGCTTTCTTTGGCCATGGTACGTGATGAAGAAGAGCTCCTCCATCAATGACGAATTTGGTTTCGCCGACCGGGCCGGCCTTAGCATCAGGTGACAGCATTTCCCACAATGTGTCTGCAAGATTAGATTTCTGAGGCTGTCGCAACGTTAGCGGGGAATCGAACAAGGCTGCTGGATAACTACAAAGCTCGTATTGAAATACTTCTTCTAAATCATCAACGGTATTACATGCAAAGACTAACCTCTGAAACAGAAGCTGTGGATCGACATGTACTTTTACTCCGTTTATCTTTACTGATGAGCCTGCAGCAAGAGTAATGGCCTGATCTTTACGTGTAAATGTGTAGTCGCATACTTTTGTACCAGCCATCTTTGACAATATGTTTTCTCCTTTACTTCGAGCTTCATCAACATCAACGGAATCATCTGCGTTTACACCTGTCATTATATTCTTGAGAACTGATTCTTGAATAAATGGATTCTTTCCTTCTGATGCAAGCGTTTTAAGTATGAGCATGGTATCATCCATATCTCTTTTCTGTCGACTTTGGGACATATCTTTATTTTGTTCGCTGTGTTCACAAATGATGCCAATGAGGTCTTGCATAGCTGAGCTAAGCTGGGCACATGCTGGAGTAGACAATACCCACACGACACGTTGCCGTTCGGTCATTCCACTTCCGCGGCTCAGGCCACCTGTGGTTTTAACAGTTCTCATAAGAACTTGTTCTATAATTAAATCAGTGGACAGGCCAGCCCAGTAACGTTCACTCCTTCTGAAAACATGGAAACCATCTGAAAATGACTTGTAGACTTCAGGAAACTCATCTTTAAGATTCATCATAGATTGTAAATAGAGGGTAGAACTTTCTGTGTAAAGGTTGTGGCCAGATGCAGCAAAGTATGGTAACATTCTTGATAGGACTTGGAGGTGCATCTCCCAATTTCCAGTTCGTTCAGCTTTAATAAATCCACGCACAATGTCAATCATCTCTTGATATTGTAGCCAAAGGGTAGCGGTTCAACTTTTGGCTTTCAGCTCTCTTCGCCTGTTGCTAACCTTTTCCTCGATTTCTTTCAGCTTATTTGAAGCAGCCACTTCTTGAGCTGTTTTTCTTTTCTCAATCAAGTCTTCGTAAAGGTCTTGGCATTGATTCAAGAGGTTCTTGTTTTCATCAATTTGATTGTCTTCAGGCACTCCTTGGAAAGCAAAAAAAGAATTGCATGTTGTTATTATTTGTTAGTAAGGGTTATTGACCCTTCTTTGGTGCTATAGTATTACCTTCCAAGCGCTGAATTTCATTGGACGTGTCTTGTGTTGAGATGATGTCATCTACGATTTCTGTGTTTGTCGCATCTATAAGATATGTCAACTTCGTATGAATCCATGCCTTATTAAAAGTCTCTTCTATAAAAGCACCCACCTTCATAAGCAGCATGAAAAGATTCATCAGTTATATTTGAACCATCATCAATGTCTTCATCGAAATCAGCGTCATCTGCGCGTAAAACAAGTAAATGGTTAGTTTATATTATGAAATCATGAGCATTTATAAGAATTTTACCAGTAGAATCTAAACATGGTACTTGTACACCAAGTGTGGCTGAGTATAGTAAGGCGTTAAGTGCAGCGTCGACGATTAAATGACCACGTAGAGCTCTAGAAACAGCTTTCCAGAGAGCATATGTTCCACAGCGTTGGGTGCGTATATCAACTCCAGCAGCTCCTTCAATCCCGAACCCGCCATTAAGTGACCAATACTGCCAAGAAAGCTCATCAAAGTATGGAAAGAGCCAAGTCTAGGAACAATCTTTCGCAGTTTACTGTCTTGAGACTCAGTGTTGATCAGCGAGAATGCCTTATGCCAAAGGGGCTGGTCGTAAGTAACGATAGGATTTTTAATTCCATGTTCTTCTGCATGCTTGCAAACAAAGTGAAGTGCAGAGTTGATACAGGTAATGTCACTAGCGTTCATGTCAATCATCGGTAAAAACAGTATAGATGACTTGCCCGGGTATTTCCCCTTGAGATGGTTTTGCATAAATCCTCCCCAGTTCGGTCGACTAACATCTCTGAATAGCAATGATGATTTCCATAGTACATCCAGATTTGCTGTTGGGTCTTCTACACTGGCAATGGTAACCTCTTTAAACTTGATGTCTAAAGTTGCCTTTCTTGGTTGTGAAACCGGTATAATTTCTATTTGACCAGTTGATAAGATGTCTTGATCTTTAACCTTTCCTTGGAACTTGGCTTATTTTATTTGTACCTGGTGTTACCATTGCAATTATCCCTGTACCGTGAAATGCACCATGCCCGTCGATAGTTCGGAGATTATGGTCGAGGTTATCCAAACCATACTGTGTAAACTCACCATTATAATCCGGGATTGTAGTCCCTTGGCTTACGGCTGCATTTCGTTTGAATGAGAGGACTTCTTCATATGACGAACAGAAACCAACATGATTAAGCGTGTCTATTAAAAAACGCGAGGCAAAGCTGTGATGGAGTAAAACACCCATTCCAATCTGTAAAGGTGCAAGCAAAGCACGAGGACGAGTTGACTGCATAATCGCTTGACCAACAAAAGCTACTTTCCGAGATGTGTCTTTTCCTGAAAACAGTTGATTAAGAAGAAGCTGAAGTGTTGGGGGTAAGAATTCAAGATTTTTGTCAATGTCACTGTCGATTAACGGATATATGTCGTTTGGTGTTTCAATGTTGAGCTACCTTTAAAATGCATCGTTGGCAGTGTTGTTGATTGGTCGTCCTGACTTGCGCTTTTTGAGCGGTGGTTGGTCATTAAATGGCGCTGGAATTCTCATTTTTGTCCTGAAGTTTGTACGGCATAGATGATGATACATTGCGTCAGCTGCCGGTAGGTCATGCACACTTTGGATCCTTGATTTTACGGACTCGGCCCAGTCATCGCATCTCACTTTGCAAGCATTCAAGATGGTGTCTTGAATGTCCATAGTCCTAACAGTGCAAACAACACGCCCCCTTTTGCGCTCTTGTTCTTGATTAATTTCATTTCCGCAAAACAAGCAATCTCTTCTGAAATCGAACTGAACTGAACTTTGTGAGCGAAGGGTTCTTGGTACGGGATGACGCTCTTCCTTCTGACGTAGCGATTTAGAAATATATGATGGATTTGTGTATCGTTTCCTACATGCTATGTGAACGCTGTCACCTTCACGGACGTCAACTGTATCGCCTCTTTCTTTACTAGCTCGGTTTATACCATCTATCCCTTTAGATGTTAGAGCCAACCCGTTGTTCACAATTGATTCTTTACATATTGCACAGTACTGACGCAGAATTTGATCCATCCTATAATGATTCACAAGCAAAATAGTGTTCGACAACACAAAAAAGCCTGGTTTTATTTACTGGTTTATGAGATATTTTACAGCCCTAATGTATCTATGGCTTTGAACGCGGTATTATAATGCAAACATTGTATTTGGTAATTAGGTCGCTAATTATAGCCCCCTCTTGTTAGTTTTAACTTAAATTATTGTGACCCACAATATTAACGTATTCATTCATTGTAAAATGTAATAGCAATTAAATAATACATTCATTAACTCATTGTCTTCAAGTTATCTATTTTGCTTACCTTGAGGAGAACAAAGAAACGTCACATTTTGATGCCAACAATGAGCCAAAGCTTCAATTTGAAGTATTGAAAGGGAAGTCACATTAAATATAATAAATATCCATCTAAACACGTGCAAAATATACGTAAACAAACGTACTTTAAACACGTTTTTTGTCTAAAAAACTACCAAGTCAGCGAAAATTAGTACCCAAAAAAGCAAGATCAGCATTTTTGACGTAAATAAAGGACAAAATATTAATTAATTTACAAAATATCATTATCTACTTGTTTTTAATCTATAATATTTATATTTGTGCTTTACTAAGTGTTCTAAAAGGATAAAATCTAAAACATTAATTTTTGAGCCTCGTTTCCATGTCGCTCAGATTTTCAATCCAAATGCCTCAAATAAAACGTAATTTACACGATGTTGCCGTGCTAGGATTTTGTGGGACTTTCGATATGTTGTAAAGGGATATCAAATATACCAAAATCAGTTGGAATTTCTTTTGTGGAAATTTGTTCAAGCTTAGAGTGTTTTTGGTCGTAGATTGACTGGACTACAATGATAATTCATTCTGCGTATTGGAATGTTTTCATGATTGTAAACTCTATGCCATTTACATTTTGTGCACAAGGATATCCATTTAATATTGATTTTCTATAGTAAACAGCTGTACCATGATATGAACGGTTGCAATGGGAAGCAGCATCATTTCAAAAAGGACTATAGCCTTTCATTTTGCACACATTTTTAGGATCGCTACAGATAAACTTTGACTCACTAAATATCAGGATATCAACAGATGAATAATTTATGTTATTTTGCACATCTTCAATGTGTTTGTGTAACATTGGCATCAATCCTGTCTTAATGGGGGACCATATTCATATATTCTGCTATGCCTGGCTAATTTCTTTTCAAAACAATTTATTTTCAAAAGAAATCAGCCTGGCATAGCAGAATGTATGAATATGGTCCCCCAATTATCGCAGGATTGACCCCCATGTTGTGTAAAGATCATTTATTTAGGTAACATATCTTTAAGTCAGAAGGATTCGATATACAAAGGAGTGAAGCAAAGATCTAACTTGTATTGATTGCATAATAACTGCATTTCATTCCCAACTTTTCCATCAACAGATATCTTACTTTCACAGAGCTCAGTTATATATAATCCTTTCATTGTTTTTTACTCGGCTTAGAGCAACATAATGAATATTGGGTATTAACCTTCTAGTACTAAGATTAACAAACTGCTTTGTTCAAGATTTTCATTGTCATCGACATCGTATTCTTAAATGTTGTCGTGAGTTTTTTAAAAGTTGCCGTGAGTTATTAAATGTTGTCGTGAGTTTTTTAAATGTTGCCGTGAGTTTATAAATGTTGCCGTTAGTTTTTTAAATGTTGCCGTGAGCTTTTGAAATGTTGTCGTCAATTTATAAAAGTTGCTGTGCATTTGTAATGTTGCCATGTATTTTGAATGTTGTCTAGCTAACATTGCTGACATAAGTTGCTGTGACATTATAGGCCACCGTATAGCTAAAAGTCCTTCGGCAACAACAATTTTAGAAGCATCAATCTGCTTACCATACGCCATATTGTCATAAATCACATCACATCACATACTCTCCATAAATTGACTTTGATATTTGACATTCATGAATACACTTCAGTTGTCCTTTACTTACGATTTTGGATGTTAATTTCTATGAGAAAACTCTAAACAATGTTGGCTTTCTTTTGAACATCAATGACTTAAATGTCGCTCGCGAGATCGTCTTTACCATTGATATCTATTAAACTAACTGGATATACAGGAGGGCCTGGGAACTATTGTCAAAAAACATGGATGCCAAAAGGAAATTTTGGACGAAAAACTACCACTTGATTTCTTTAATGCTTGGGAAATCTTGACCGTTATATGGCAGCGAAATTCTACAGTCCTTCAACTGTATTTCAATGGACAAAAAATCTGTAGCCATAAGGTGCCATGCTATTATTTACCATATTATAAACAAATGTTTGGGGCTTTTTACTTTATGATCATTGATCATTCAATCATTGGACAGTTATACTACACATTGTTTAAGATTTGAGAAAGATAATATTCATTACACGAGAAACTGTTTATTATAACCTGTGAGTCTTTCTGATACATGAAGCTTATTATTTTGACAATTTGACTGGAATGGTATTAAACTGAGTGTTTCACATAGATGAAATGTTGTGCCATGTCACATATTGTCCCCTTTTCTAACTGAACACCTCATGTAGAGATGTCAAGGTGTGCTGATCTACGGTTCATACCAGATTGTTTGCCATTAACTCCTAAGGGCTATTGATGTATGAAAAGCATTTTCTATAAAATAAAAATATGTTCCTAGGTAAATTTTAACATTCATGTAATTATATAATTAAAGGCATGTTGGTTACATGTCTTTTTATATTGGCAAATACAATGCTACTGGTAATTGCTATTTAGCACACCTTGCATAAACTTGCACAAGAAAATAGTCTAGTGAAATGCCTAATAAACGTTAATCGCATTAAGCTGTCCTTAATTGCAAATTTTTAGTCTGATAATCTTTGTTTAATCTTTGGCAGAAAACAAATTTGAGTGTTTTTTCAAAAGGTGAATTTCCTGGCACTGTATGTGAAGATGGGTAAAAGGTTACAATAAACTTGCATGGTTTGAAGTAGGAGCTTTTCTACATCTATGAACTGTCCCTTGTATTTCTTCATTTCTAACTCAACTCATTACATAAAATGTAAATGGAGTAAATGGTTTGAACCCGGGAGTATCGTTATATGTTTGTAAATGATGAGTTATCGTTATATGTTATATGTTTATGTTCATTACATAAAGTTGTGAATGGGGGTCTCTAGGGGGTCTATGCCTGACAACTTGGTAGAAATTTTTTGACTATATCTTTTTTGGATAGCATTATTGTAAAGTAAATTTATGTTGATAGGCATGATAATGAGCCCAAATCTTTGGCAAAACATTCAAGTATTGTTCACTTCAGTTTTTTTTTTGAAAAAAAAACATAAGCAAAATGTACGTTTTTACGCAAAAACGATGGCCACAAAAAACATTTTGTATCTCTCTAAAACGCTGAAAACGGCATTTCCAAGGCTTTGAAATTCAAAATTTCCCAGGAGAGAGTACCTCGGACCCCCCAGTGTGCGTGGAGAAGGTTTCTGGCGTTCCATGACTGATGTTTGAAAAATCCTAGATCCGCCCCTGCTAACTATAGCTACCTGATGGAATTGTGAGAAAGCCACCACTTAGCTATTCATATACAATGCACGTTTTCTATACGCGTATTCAACTAAAATTTTGTTAAATCAAAGTTGACTTAATTCTTGCAAGGAAACAAATTTTAAGATTAAATCATGGAAAACAGGAATAGTATAATGTAAGAGCAAAGTATACTATATCAAAACTACTTTTTAGCTACAATGAAACCCTGTAACCATGTTAAGCAAAGCTATTTTTGTAAAGCTACGTAGCTACATCAGTCACAAATACACAAAATTATAGTTTTTCTTCGTTCCATAATCCAAGTTCATTCAGTCCATAAACTAGGCTCATCGTTGCATTTTTCGCCCACAGTTTGTTTGAAGATAATGTCCAAGTCTGTTGACAAAATAATGACAGTTGTTCTTCAAAAGATGATATTTGCCATACTTATTTTTATATGAATGTGCCCAGGTTTTGGCGTCGCTCAATGTGCATCTGCTTTCTCCCTTTGGTGTCCAGGTCCATGTAATCTTACAGTCTCCAGGTCTACGATTTGTAACGCCATTATAATTTTTCCTCCACTCAAAAATTTGTCCACGGAACAACAGTATACTGTGTCTTAAAAGACGTTTGTTTGAGACGATATCTCTCTTCTTCGAAGAGCCAAACAATTTTGTAGTTCCGTAAAAGTAGTCGTTGGATTGTGCTGAAACGATAAAATTGTTCGATTTTTATTTGTCAAAAAATCATCATTGAACGACAATCAAGAACTATTTCGATACTGCTTATTTAAACGATTGTAAATTGAGCGCTGGTTTGACTTTTGCTTCAAAAATGGAGGTAATTTCCCTTACAACTATGCAAACATTAAGGACATTTTCACTGTTATGCATAGCTACTGTTTATTCAAATTAAAATATCCGTGCAAAATTAATCGACATGATATAACAATCATAAGGTAGGCATAATATAACAATCGCTTTATGAAAATGAAAAGTTATTTATTTTCTTATGTTTATTCATTGTGATTGCAAGTTTCATCAGATACGACACGACAGCATAGGTCCATGTGAGAAAGTTCGAACTCGAGGAAAAGAAATACTGACCATTGGTATAACATTGTGAAGGAGTGGGATAGCTACAGGAACCTGTACTTCTGCGATGAGGTTGGTGCATGTTCCAGGAGTCGACCAAAGTGCTTTGCAACATAAGGAAGAAAGCCAGAACGATCAAGATGATAAAACGAGCCATTTCGTTTTTGATCTATATCAAATTTATGATGAAGTGGGCATCGTTGTTTAAAAGGTCGAAACTATGCGAATATATCTTTGTTGCTCGAGCGTTATTTGCATTACGGAGGAATTAATATTTCTGGATGCAGTAAAAGGCGCTATTTGGACAGACTAGATGTTCATACTGAATAACAAGTTCTTATTAAGTTTAAACTGATAATGTCAGAATTTTCAAAGATTTATGCAGTTTTGTGGTAAATTAGTTTAACAACTTCCAATACGTCGTTATATTTCTTCAAATTCATCCTATCAAATGTTACTATGATCATACATCTTCTAGAGGCTGAAACAAACACTCAGGATATCGGTTAGAGCAACAAAAAAATATTTTTCCATCCGATTCACGAGTGCACAACTTTTCCACGTTCACTGACTGAGGTAATCGGTGGCGCATGCGGGCGTGTATTGCCAAATTTTTTACACAGTGGGGCTTCTCTGTCATAAAAACTAGCAAAAGAACAAAATATGTATTGTTTGTTACTGTTTGTGTGAGCAATTAAAATAAACGGTCAT